TTCAGGAGGCTGAGGCAGGAGAATTGCCTGAACCCAGGAGGCGGAGGTTGCGGTGAGCCGAGATCGCGCCATTGCACTCCAGCCTGGGTAACAAGAGCGAAACTCCGTCTCAAAAATAAAATAAAATAAAATAAAATAAAATGAAAATATATGTATACTGAGGATATACATATTTGTTTATTTCCAATACTATGGCCCACATTTCTATCTGACACCTAAATTCTCTAAATCAGATTGAATCAATCTCTCTCTCTTACATACACACAATACATACATATACACCTCTCAAAAACACAAAATACATCCTCTTCATATCTCTCTATGGGAATTTGTTAGAGATTTGTTTCCCCCAATAGAAAACCAAGTGATATCTGCTATAACACTGCCTAGTGTCTTTTCAGATCAGGTAGTTTCAGATAATGACACCATTTAGACTGAAAAATTCAATTCAATTAAAAAAAAAAAAAAAAGAACTATAGGCTGCAAGAGATGGCACACGCCTGTAATCTTAGCACTTTGGCAGGCCAAGGCAGGCAAACTGCTTTAGTCCAGGAGTTCAAGACCAGCCTCGGCAACATAGAGAGAACCTGTCTCTACAAAAACAAACAAACAAACAAAAATTAGTGGGCATTGTGGCGCACACCTGTGGTAGTCCTAGCTACTCAGAAGGCTCAGATGAGAAGATCGCCTGAGCCCAGGAGGTCAAGGCTGCAGTGAGCTATGATCATGCCACTGGACTCTAGCCTAAGGAACAGAGACCCTGTCAAAAACAAAAAAACAAAACTATAAATTCTAAACTACAGGGACATTTAAAACAACCAATTCTGCTATCTCTGCCTTATTAGGGCCACTCCCATCACTTGCCTGGACAATTGCATATTGTTTCTGGCCACTCCATTCATTTGTTCCTTAATTTGCCCCTTCCACAGACATTTAAGTACACACCCTGCTGAGCTCCGGGGTACAAGAATCACTTACGCATTTCCCCTCCCCCTTGAACACTCATAGTTAAGAGATGAAAAGGGATATACACACACATAACTACAGCCATGCAGTAAGTATTGCAACTTAAAAGTGCTATAGGAGCAGACAGGAAGAAGCCTCAAATTCGCCTGCAAAAGTCAGATCAGTGTCACAATCCTGCCCTAAGTAACTTCTTAAAAAGTCATGCTTATCCTTTAACACTTCCCATGGGAATAGACCACAGGATAAATTCCTAACTTCTTAGAGTCACATAAAAAAACATCAAAAATTGGTCCCTCGCTTCCTTCTCACTCATACATCACATTGCAAGGTTCAGATCCTGGGCTTCCTGGCAGTTACCTCACCTGTCAGTGTCTTAATTTCCTTAATACCCTTGTTTTACAGTCATACAAAGTAGTAAATTACAGTCATGAATTTACTACTTCATATGACTGTAGTGGAGGTTAAAGGGGTCGGGTAGTGCCTGGCACTTAAGGTCAGCAATCATCATTATCAATTCATTCAGCAACAATCATTTACTGACTCTCACAACCTGCCCTCCAGCCACATGGTATGTGTATTGGCAGGTTACGCAACTGTCATCCTGTCTCCCTGACTTCCCTCCACAAAGTCTTCCCCAGAGTACTTTTCTCTCCAGTGTTCTCATCAACTTTGTACATATCTGTTCGATAATCTTATCAAAGTATTATTATGGCTTGCAAGTTTGTTTTCTCCACTGGAGCACGTAAATTCCTGCTGTGTATGTGTGCAAGAAAGCATCTATGTGTATTGCACATTAGGGGAGACAGTCAACCCTGAAAAATGAACCCTCTTCTCCTCACCACCAAGAAAAGAAAATGCTTCATGTTAGATGTTCAACTATAACTGTTTAGGAACAATAATAGCTAATATTTATTGAGCCCTTATTACATGCCACACTGTTCCAAAGGCTTCAGGTGTTTTACCTCACTTTACAGATGAGGATACTGAGGCACCAAGTTGAGAAACTTGGGCAAAGTCAAACAGCTAAATAATTGGTGTGAAGCTCGCATTCGAATCCTAGGATCAGACTCCAGATTCCACGCTCTCCAACACCACCCGAAGTGCGACAGTCCCTCAACTTCCCCTAATGACAGGCTCCCTTGCTTAGACCCCAAACTACCCGAAGCGGGAAGGGGGCTAGGGACGAAGATGGGCATCAACCGGCGGAAAAATAACCCAGAATCCCCTAAAAAGAGGTTTTCCCAAAAATGAGCAGCTTCCAAGCATTCCCCACCAAAAGACTGCCCGAAGCTCCCCCGATTCGCGGCGGGGTTCTTAGTGAAGATCCCGACCGTCTTAACGGAGCATGCCCAGCACCCGAAGGCGAATACCGCTAATATCGACACCCACGGGCCTAGGGTGTGAGCAGGAAATAATGAGCGAACCCCACTTCCCCACAATGGCACCCCACATGAAACTTTCCAATACCGGGTCTGCAGCCTCCAACTTTTAAGTTTCCCCACTCATTACACAGTTTCCCCGCGGAAAGCGCCGCAAAGTAACAACCGAAGCACTGATTGGGTCGTCATCCTGGCCATTGTATCCAATAAGAGGCCGGCAGAGGCTCAGGTAGGCCCCGCGGCTTGCTGGGAATTGTAGTTAACACTGTTATCAGCCTAAGAGGTCAAATCTGAAGCAGTTTCTCAATACAGTATAATGATTATCAAAATCTGTTAGAGGACCATCACCAAAGAGACTATGAAGCAAGGGAACACCCTGTTTGGAAATAGTTTTTTGTATCACCACTTTTAAAAATGGCTTAATGGGGCCAGGCGCGGTGGCTCACGCCTGAAATCCCAGTGCCTTTGTAAACGCCCAATGGGTTCACCTTGCTAGCTGCCTAGACAAAACCAATTTATCAGGACAGCGGAATTGCAATGGCGAAAGAGTAATTCACGCAGAGCCAGCTGTGCAGAAGACCAGAGTTTTATTATTACTCAAATCAGTTGCCATGAGCATTTGGGGATCAGAGTTTTTACCGATAATTTGGCTGGTGAGGTAAGGAGTGCTGATTGGTCAGGTTGGAGATGGAATCATTAAGGGGTCGAAGTGAGGTTTTCTTAATGTCTTCTGTTCCTGGGTGTGATGGAAGAACTGGTTGGGCCAGATTACTGGTCTGGGTGGTGTCAGCTGATTAACTGAGTGCAGGGTCTACAAAATATCTCAAGCACTGATCTTACTGCTTACAATAGTGATATTACCCCCAGGAGCAATTTGGGGAGATTCAGACCCTTGGAGCCAGAGACTGCATGACCCCTAAACTGTAATTTCTAATCTTATAATCTGGTAGTCCTGCAAAGGCAGACTGGTGCCCAGGCAAGAAAGGGGTCTTTTCGGAAACAGCTGTTAGCAATTTTGTTTCACAATCAAACCATGAACTGAATTCCTTCCCAAAATTAGTTCAGCCCACGCCCAGGATTGAACAAGGACAGCTTAAAGGTTAGAAGCAAGACAGACTCGGTTAGGTTTGATTTCTCTCAGTGTCATAATTTTCTCAGTTACAATTTTGCAAAGGCGGTTTAACTTTGGGATGCCGAGGCGGGCGGATCACTTGAGCTCAGGAGTTTGAAACCAGCCTGGCCAATGTGGCAGAAACCTCGTCTCTACTGAAAACACAAAAATTAACCTGGCTTGGTGGCGGGCACCTATGATACCAGGTACTTGAGAGGCTGAGGTGAGGAGTCAGACCTTGCCTCAAAAAAATAAAAATAAAAAAACAAAAAATAAATTAATGAGCTAGAGAGGCATGTTAGTTTTCTTAAGAATCGAGGACAATCCACCAATCCCAGAAGAGTTTTTGGACGAGAACGTCCTGTTTTAATTTGCTCTTTTCACAACCCTTTGGTGGTGAAATAGTTTGGGAAATGCTGAATGAAATTACTAAACCTGAAACACATATTGAGGAAACCTGAATGTCTGTGATTTAAAAATGCAGAGAAACCAAACAGAAGTCTTGGTGTAAAGCAGCTGCGGTGAGGAAACCTAATAAACTGATACTTTAAGACTTGGTTTCAGGCCGGGCACGGTTGCTCACACCTGTAATCCCAGCAGGAGGCCGAGGCAGGTGGACCACGAGGTCAGCAGTTCGAGACCAGCCTGACCAACACAGCGAAATTCCCGTCTCTACTAAAAATACAAAAATTCGCCGGGCATGGTGGCGCACACCTGTAGTCCCAGCTCTCAGGAGGCTGAGGCAGAAAATGGCCTGAACCTAGGAGGCAGAGGTTATAATGAGCCGAGATCGCGCCATTGCACTCCAGCCTGGGCGGCAGAGCGAGCCTGCGTCTCAAAAAAAAAAAAAAAAAAAAAAAGACTTGGTTTCCGGTTATTATGTTTGCGAAAAACTTTTGCTCATTCTTTGCTCTCTGATCTCTTATGCATACTTCCATCTTATAATTTAGCCCACCGTATCCTAATTTTTGGCCTGCACCTCCCTTAAGGAGAGGAACCTCAATTTACTCAACTTAGAGAATACGGCTGAAGCCCAGTGTAGTGGCGCACGTCTTACACGAAGGCCGAGGCTGAGGATTACTTGATCTAGGAAATTCGACGTTGCAGTGAGCCGAGGTTGCACTCCACAGCACTCCAGCGACAGAGACCCTGTCTCTAAAAAAATAAAATTAAGCCTCGCGCACCGTTCAATTCACAGTTGTCAGGTAAATGTACAAATAAATGAATGCAGTGAAGCAGAAGAATACGGAAATTCAGACCTAAGAGTCCCGGAACAAAAAAGCCCAGTAGAAAGAATAATAATGGAGGAGAACCCAGTTCTCCTAGCTCTGGGTATCCCCCGCTCCTGGCAAAACACCATCACTGGTTGGCGTTCACTAAACGTTGACTTCAAATATTAAGGAGAAAAGAGAGTGGAAGAAAAAAAAAATCCAGGGGCACAGCTCTTCCCGCCACCTGCTTGGCGGAATGGAGAACTGAAAGTATTGTGTGCAGGAGCTGCCACAATTGAGACAGATGGTCCGCAGCCAGGTAGCTGATTTCCTCTTTCCGAGCTTTCTAGCTTTCCCTCCTCCCGCAGGGGTGCGTCACGTGACCCAAACCAATATGGCACTTAATTTCCATCTTCCCTGCCTTGAGCCAATAGGAGTGGGGCTTTCAGCCGTTCTCACCACCGCCTTTCGGAGTGGGATCTGTCACCTGACTCGGCTCAAACATGGCTGCCCTGAGAGCTCTGTGGCTTTGGGCGCCGGGAGCAGGTGAGTGTGAGACACCCCTGAGAGGGAGGGGCCCCTCTCCACGACCCCTACCAGAAGCGTCCTTGCGTCCCACCCCTGCACTGCTTTCGACTTATGACACAGATTCGTCTCCTCATCTCCAATCTCTGCCTTAACAGAGGGCTCAAAATAGAGAGGTTCCTGCTGAATTTCTCATCCTTGAGGAGGCGACCACCTGGGGATTTGGAGTCAAGACTGGGCGTAAAGTTATGGGTCTGCGTCCGGGGCGAATATGATTTTTAATATTGTGAAATAGAGGAATCGCGTAAAGAGATGGGATCCGCCCCTTGAAGAAAGTGTTTTCAAAAAGTAACGTGGCAAATTAAACTTAAAACGATATTAGGCAAGTAAGTCCCGCCTTTCCCAGACGGACCAGTAGTTGCTGCTCTGTCTTAATACAGTGCCTTCTGTTTCTTCTCACTGGTGTGTGCGTTGTTTCTAGGAGGTATTCCGCGAATGAGAACATTGAGAATGTGTTCGGCGTAACTCATCTCCTTGTATCTCCCTGCACTCTGTGCTGGGAAAATGAATCATCCATTTGGAAAAGAGGAAGCTGCTTCCCAGAGGCAGCTTTTTGGATTTTTCTGTGAATGCCTACGGAGGGGAGAATGGGAGCTGGCACAGGCATGTGTACCTCAGCTACACGAGGGACAAGGGGACATCCCAAAGAGGGTGGAAGACATACTTCAGGCATTGGTGGTGTGTCCAAATCTGCTGAGGTAAGGGATCTCATTTCCTACCAGTCACAGGGTGAGAGACACGTGGTTCAATATTTGGGTACTGGTCGCTGTGCCACCACTCAACTACCCTCTGAAGAATAAGCAGAGGCAGAGTGTATTACACGTGCTGTGAAATTTTACCTCTATAGTATACACCCATTACTTAGTCAATACTGGCTTTAGATTATCACCTGCAACTGCCTGGCCACCAACGTGTGCCTGAAACTGCCGTTTCTTGTTTATCCTCAATATAGATGGTGGAATTGCATTGAAAACTATTTTCTTTACCCCCAAAAAGCAAACCCTGCTCTCTTCTTGGTTATGAGATTGAAGATATTGTTGTAGCTTTACTTAAAACTTTTTATTTTGAAATAATTATAGTCTCACAAGAAGTTGCAAAAATATAAAGTCCAGTGTATTCTTTTCCCAGTTTCCCCCAATGGTGACATCTCATACAGCTGTAGTACAATATCAAAACCAAGACATTGACATTGGTACATTACT